TTATGCTAAAAACCAACTTTTATAAAACCAAAATAAACGAAATCGGACATCTAGATTCTAGACGCAGGGACAAGTCGGTGCAAAAACTAGACTTACTTAATATGTTTGTATTGTCGTTTGTGTTATATTTATATTGTCGCTGAGGAGAGTTGATGTGGAAGCGGTTGATTTTTTTTCAATTTGGTTTATTTTGGTTAGCCTCTGTTATTGCCTTGGTGACGTCAAACCTGCGCGGAAGATATCCATTGTAAACTCGGTTGATTTTTTTCAATTTTGGTTTGTTTTTGTTAGTTTCTGTTATCGCTTTGGTCGTAATTTCTATTTTATCGAGTTCAGACGATTATAATTATTAATCTTGCAAATGTGGGAAATTAATTAAAATTTTGCTCGTTTTGTGCCGACATTGTATTAATACAATGTCTGCTGCCCAGCATCATGTAGCTCTACAGAACCCCAAACATGTGGCGTGTCAGAATCAGATATACTGTACTTGACCAAATATTTTCAATTCTCTGCCTCCTGAAGTAAGAGTTAAATCATATAATAGAATAAAAAAGAGGTACCTGACTGGATTAGACTAAGCGGTTTTGATTTAGTTTATTTGGAATAAACCAGAAAATAATAATAAAAAATACCTTAGTTCGTCCAAAAATTATTGTTGATAATTGCTAACTTTTGAAAATGTGGGCTGTAATTGTAAATAGTAATGCAATGTAATTAAAAATCAAATGAAATGTAAATGTTAGGTTAGTATATTGCGGCAGTCAAACATTATTGTTTCCAATTTGTCAGTTCTATTTTGTTGAGAACTCAGCGTTTATATAATAACAGAAATAATTAGTATATACTGTTTATTTGTAAGTAAGTAAGTATTATTATTATTATTAAATAGTTCATTTACCGTAGATGTCCCCTAAAAAAATATTGCAAAAACGGATTAATAATTGATAGTCAAGGACGAGAAATCGTTAACAATGTCTCGCAATCTAAATCAACCTACTCTAGGATTCAAAATGAGTCAAGAAAAATGAATGGAGACTAACTGCTTAGGAGATGAAACAGGCACTTCTTCTTGCACGCCCAGGAAAAAGAGGCCAATGATTTCAAGAAAATTGGAATATATCACTCCGTAAGGGAAATCATTAACGATTTTTATATTTTGGGGAAGAGATGATTTTATGATTTAATAACAAACTATTGTACCTACGTAGTTTCTTTTTTAATAATTAGGCAGAAAATATTAGACAGATTGATTTCGCTTGATAACATGATAACCGTTGGTTCTTTAAGGACCCTATTGGGCCAAGTGGGCTTCAAGTAAGTTATCTATTAATATATTTGTTATTTTGTGAGGTAATTTAAAAAATTAATCATTAGAAATAAAGATAAAATTATCATGATTTTGCAGGTAGCAAAAACATAAGATAAACGTAAACTTTTGATCGCAAACAAGGTTTTAGTGCATGGATTATGTAATGTGAATAAAAAAATTTAATAGAAAACACAAAACTTAGAGGCGAAGGGTGGAATGCTATACAGTGCGTCCCACGTAAGAACTGTACACTTTTGTAAAATCTTTGTCTTTGGTTACATTTTGATCTTTTTTTTAGTCCGATAGGTCTCTGAAAAATGTACTAAAACCTTGTTTTGATTTTTGTTGCAACTTAAAGTCATGGCCAACTGAGACTATTTCACAAAAGAGAGAGATAATAGAAATACTATTAGGGCTTTTTTAAAAAATAAAGTGTAAAATTCTTATTCAGGAGTACTTAGAACCCAACTATACCATTTTTTATAATGCTTTAATACAGGGTGTTCGAAATATCGTTTGTGCCTTGCTTAAGACTGTACATCGTTGTAAAATGTTTGACTACGGTTTGATTTTGATCATTTTTTTTGTTGGATAGATCTCTCAAAAAGGCACCAAAATCTTATGTTTCTTATTACATAAACATAAACATTACATAAACCTGAAGTCATGGTTAACCGAGCCTAATTTTTTATGTCAAATATCGTGAAGGGAAATCTGTGCTTGTGAAAACGAACGGTCGGAATTCAATTCCATAATAAAATAGAGGCCTTCATTAAAAATTGGATGGCAAGTAGAAATGTCACATTTAAGTTGCCACATCTTGCAAAGAACTCATACAACTGACAGTACCAGTAGCAGTATTCAGGGTACTGTTCTATCAGATTCAGAATAAAAATACATCCGATTTTTTTTGTTCTGTAACGACATTGTGAAAAAATATCTTTAATTTGCATTATTTATTATTGTATTACTTACTAAACAAATAAATTAAAAGCTTTAAAAAAATAATTTGGGTTTTATCGAAAAAATTACTGCCTACAACAATAGATTTGGTAATTTGATGCTTGTGTTTTTATTTGTATTTAGCATTTTAGAAAAAGATCTTTTTTAGTAATCTAGCGTTTTGACGCATTATTTATATGCGTGTAAAATGAAAAAAAATTCAATACAAACATCGCATCTTATTAATGTTTTAATGTATTCTCTTACTCGTCACGCCACTGATAGGGCAACTTACCATTTCTTGAGAGAGACAGAAGAGAAAGAGACTCTACAGAAATGCGTTGTGTCCAATATACGGGGTGTTATTATTTTTTAATAATGCACTCAGTTATGGTAAGTGGCTATCTATCGAAAAAGGACGTCAGCTTCATGCAGTGTGTCTGTATTACAAAATAATCCAGAATAAGTGCCCACCTTACCTGTAACCCGTGTCTGAGGAATAGCCTATTTTCACATTACAATAATTTACTGGGTCAGAACGTTGATCATTTCTAAATTGTTTTCTGTCCCTTTTTGCAAATGATTTTCTTGTACTTATAAACCCGGTATTGTTTGGAAATAAACCATTTATGTATTTATTAATTAATTTATTTTTTAAGTTTTTTCACGGATTCACGTTATTCTCACGGATTGGTTTGAAATTTGGCAGCGTTGTTTCTAGTGATAAGGGGCTGACTTAGCTCTAAATAAATATAAATTAAACAATTATTTGATTATTTGATTTTATTTAAATTTCGATACTTTCCTGAGATAGAGCGACCAACATCTTGCTCTGTCGACGATATAAACTATTTTATTGGATGTCCATTTATCGACATTCCGAGAATGTTTGAGAATAATTTGACTAAAAATAACTTAATATTTATCTTATAAAAAAATTATAAGAACTGCTGAACAAGGACTTCAGCTGTTATTCGAATTTGTTAATCATGTACTTTATTTACGGACTTGCTGATGGCAATGCATTAGAACAGATATGAACAACCCCCAATAAAAAAAATACAATACTTAGTCTTCATCAGAATTCTTTTATATCTTGCGCAATGTGTAAACCAATTTGTTTGCTGTATAATAAATCTATGTCGGTGATGAAAGAGCTGAATATAAATAAATAATAAAAATAATAAATAAAAATAAATATTAAGGGGGCAAAATCTATATGTTAGAGGTTTGCAAGATTTTGTGTTCTGAAAAGAAAAGGAAATTTGGAAAATTTAGTTTATCAAGAAGTATAAAAATGATGATGGTTAATGGTATAAAAACAACAGTGACTGACCGTATGGCTGGATTGGAATCATTTTCCATGGCATTAGACGAGATCACCGATTTGTCTGAAACAGTTCCATTGGTGTTGATAAAGAGTTCATCGTTACTGGGAAACTGTTTGCTTTACACATTTTTCACAAGTTTTAGCTTGTCATCGTCAAAATTAGTTGCAGTATGCACAGATGGTCGAATCCAAAAGAAACCAAATGAAATGTGCAAAAAGATGATTTGATAGTACTTCATTACTTGATCAAAAAGCAGAGAATGTGGTCTAAGTACATTCGACTCCAGAATGTTATCAATGCGGTAGTAAAAAATATCAATTTAATTCCATCAAAAGAGCGTCGTCAATTCAAGGCGTCCTTTATTTTTCACAAAATGTTCACAAAAATTATTGGGTCAAAACGTATTGCGAGGCAATTTTGCGAAGGCGGATAAAAATTGGGAAGTATCCTATAATTAATTGATACGACCCATTTACAAATCTTCTGGATTCCTCAAGGAATCAAGAATCAAGAATCAAAGGTGTAAATAGTATTATATTACCCATTCTTCAAAAAATAAATCTATATTTCCCGCACTGGAAAGGCAGACCATTTTTTCATTTCGGCAAGAATATATTAACCAGTTATAGCCTTGTTCACCCTATGTAAATTACTCGAAAGCCTTCTGGAAATGGTGTGCATTGAATCGTTCAAAGTTTGTTTTTCCAAAAAACGTCAACTTTTTTAATATCTGTTTGTTGCTTTATCATCGGCTGCAACCAAATACTTACTCCTATTCACTATTTAATCTTAACAAAGCAATGTTTGGCTAATACTTTTGTCACGGCTAATTAACATTATAGCAATAGTCTTAGACATAAAGAAGAGTAACTATTCGAAAAATTAAAATAAATCACAGATGATTAAAAATAGGAAAATGTTAATAAGTATGTAAGTAATTGTAAGATCTTTAAGAAAAAATACAGAAAATCGAAATTTTTAAATTCAAAATGAACGAATACATTTATATTCGTTTATTTTTTAACTGTTAGGTTTAGGTATGTATTATACGTATGTATAAAAAAGTTGAAAAATTTCTAAACGAATTAAAAAAAAAATAAAAATAGAGTCTTCCATTTAAAAAAATGTATGTTTTATTCATCACGCTTTTTTGAGCAACCCTGTATACTATGCAACTCCTGTATTTATCATTTTCTCGCAACTTTTGAAACCTAACAACATAAAACGTAAATAAACAAAAATAAATTGGTAATATTTTTTATGATGACTCTATTTTTTCGAAAATTTCAAACCTCCGTAACAAAATCTTGTTTTCAAAAAATCGGTTTATAACAGAGGTCCGGCGTTCGCTTTTGAAACAACCATTTTTCCAAAAAAATAAAATAAAAAGATGTTACAGTTAACGTGGACTCCACCTTTAGGTTCCTCATCTCCCTGGCCAATCCGATAAGGTCTTTCGGGCCATTGACGTTGATATCGTACGCCGCCTTGATGGGCTCGTCGAAATTGACGGTGGCGGCCACGTGGAAGACCACGTGGACGTCGGAGATAAGCCTCTGGCGGTCGGTGATCGATAGCCCCAAGCCAGCCAGGGTGCAGTCGCCAGGTATCGCTTCCACGCGGTTTTTGCACTTCGGTTGGCGCTCTTTGAGACCGTCGAAGAGCTACGAAGAAATAACGGTTCGTTGAATGAATGGACGACGCAAACATTTTTATTGAAAACGAACCCGTCTCAGCTAACGCAATGTGCAATATAATTAGAGCATTAAAATTTAGAGTGTAAAAAAATATCGACAAAAATAATTATTCGAAAGGTCTTCGACGGGGCACTGTAATACTATTTATAAATCTTCTGGATGTTATTTGTACTATGAGTGTATAGTCTGTCTAAACCTTTCAATTATGGTGCAAGAAAACTCGGGTTCGGTAGGTATTAAAGGACAACATTAGGGACGGACTCTGGGAGGTTTTAATAATTTTTTTTTGTTTACTAAGGTGTGTATAATCTTATTAAATTACACTAATAAAAAACAATCACATTAAATATACACATTAAATCCTTAGATAGGAATATTTACTTATAATTACATTTTTATTCTAAATATCTAAGTCTAATTCTGTTTCACTATCAGAGTCGTCATTGAGGTTAATTATAATATGATTTATGTTGTTTTGTATAGAAATGGAAGAGTCCCCAATTTTTACAATGTGCTGTACCGAATTTTTTCAGCTCTCAATTGGTATGGTATTAATTACAATGTTTATCAAATTTATAATACTGGAGTAACATTTTTTGCTCCGACTGTTGATTTTATTTGGTGGAAGAAGACGTAAAATAGTATGCCCAGCCTGGGCAGCCAAATAATCGCATGTATACTGTTTTTTAATTACATATGAATTTAGTACTTCCAGGAGTTGCGCTTTTTATAACTAAATTCAAAATAAATATCATTTTTCAACAAATATGCCTGGATTTCAGTTTTTGAACTTGATGCTTTGCGTAGCAGACGGCTATGGTAGCTTGCGTTATCCATGACAATAACACTGTTACTGGAAATATTTTATAAAGTATTGTTTTGGAACTAATTTAAAAAAAGTTCGACACTTGTAGCGTTATGATAATCCAAGCTAACTAATGTTCTCTGCAGACAACAACAGCAAGCAACTGGTTTGGGACAAATCCGTCTTCTGACCCAGCGTGTATTATGGTGATGCGTTTTCCTTTATTTGAAGGTGCTTTCGTCTGACAGTTTTGAATGGATTCAACCCATCTTTTGGATACAGTGTCGTTTGGAACGAACCAGGTTTCAGGTGAATTCTGGATCTTTGGGCTAGTCTATATCTTTTTAGTTTCTTGTGCGTAATCTGTGTGATATTCTTACCTTTTGTCTATTTTGTGGTACTTAAATCCAATTTGACAAACAACTCTATGGAGGATCGCGTGGCTTATTCATCTTATTCTAGCTTTTTTTCGGTTCATCCAAGGTAGGAATAACGCTTTGTTAAGCGCAATATATTTTCCTTTTTATTAGGTGAGTTTGAAAATCACTACGTTTATTCGATATAGGCGTTTTTCTAAGTAGACAGGTTTCTTTTAAAGCTTCATGTTTAATAAATCCTCTACTGATTAACGTTTCATACAGGTACTTTCAACCGCCAGTGTCCCTAGAGGGCAACATTTCAAGGAATTGGAAGAAATTTTGGAAGAAATTCCAAGTTTTTATGGAATACACGCAATTGACAAAGAAACCAGAGTCAAAGAAGATTGCCGTTTTTCAAAACTTGATAGGCTATGATGGCCTAGAACTGTTTAACGGTTTTGATTTTTCAGAAGGGGAAAACGAAAAGTTGGAAACCATAATAGACAAGTGTGATGCTCATTGCTCGTCCAAGTTGAATTTAACATTTGAACGATTTAAATTTAACAACATTGTCTAAAAAACTTTGATAGTTTTTTAACAGAACTTTGTAAGGCAGTTAAAATGGCGATGTATAAAGATCCAGAAGACATGGTGCGTGACAAAATTGTAATAGGAATTCTTGACAAGCGAGTCTAAAGTATATTGTTAAAGGACTCTAATTTAACGTTAGAGAAATGCTTAAAGGTGAAAAAGTAACTTTGTAAAGATAAATAAAAATAACAGTGGAAAAGATAAACTATCCAAAGCAGAATTCAGTTGCCAATTTTGTGGATATCAACATCACAGAGGGAAAGGTTGCCCAGCATTTGGAAAGACTTGTGCCAAGTGCCATGGAAAACACCATTTTGCAGCAGTTGTTATTGTTGTATTGCTCCAATTTCTGTGCGTAATCAGATGCTTTCACTTTTACACGAAGGTCACAACGGAATAGAAAAACCAAAAAATAAGGCTCGTCAAATTTTTTATTCGCCAAGAATGTAAAATTTGTGAAAAAAATGCTAGACGTCAGCAAAAGGAACCTCCATTACTATTTGCATTGCCAGCTTGGGAATTGATATAGATATAAAAATGATCAAAATTAATGATAAAAGTAGTATTTCAATTAGAACAGTTAGAGTAGAATTTTAATATTAATTATAGAAATCCAAATTCCCCACAGTCTAATTGTCTTGCTGAAAAGGGATGTGTATTATGAAAATATCCTAAAAAAAGTCAATGGAAAATGCTGAAAATTTAGATCCATATTTAATGCAGTATCGGAATTCCCCTTTAAAAAGTTTAGGTTATATCCCTTCTCAGTTGTTAATAAGTAGAATTTGCAAAACAAAAGCGTCCATCGCAAGTGAATTAGTTACCTTAGTTATGTAACGATGTTAGATGTACGTTACAATTTAAACAGAATTTGTATAAAACTAATCATGGCAAATATTCCAAAGAACTTGAATCCTTAAAAAATGATAATGATTTAGAGATGGGAGCCTAGTAACGTGACTTTTCATCATATTAACCCTAGATCATATATTGTAAAAGATGCAAGTGACAATTCTTCTTTCAATCAGTACAGGCCCCTCTCTTTTGAAGTTGAAAATTGCTCTGAAGACACGAAAAATGATATGTATATAACAACTTGCTTGACAAATTTAATCATGATATTGTTAAAAACAGTATTTTTGGGCGTCCTACTAAAAAATCAAAAAGATAAACTTTTAACAGAGATATAATATAGTACCAAGTTGCCTGTTTTATGTATTGTAATCCAATGTTATTTGTACAATGAGTGTACTGTTCAAGTGATATTCTGTGGTCAATCGTTACCGACGAAAACATGTAGGCAGATGATTGGTTTTCTCCTGCTGGGTACGGCTAAGAAGCCACGAGGAGTGTTATTTTAATTTGTTTTTAGTTAATACACTTTGTGAACTAAGATGTTGATTTTTATTTAGGACTAGAAAGGTGCTGAATATTACATATGTTTATTAGTCAAACTATAATTCTTGCACCTTGTAATCAATTCTTCAGCCAAAGAAAAATCCGAGAATTCATAAAAATCTATAAATACGAAAGAGTACCAAGTTTTTAATATATAAATAGAATATTTTCCTGATATCGAAAATATCTAGATTGTTGGTTTTCGGATAAACCGTTCTTCTTCACATATGGTGCCGCTTTACTTTAAATCGAAAAATTTAGAGGAAGAAAAGTTTCACGTGGTTCTTCTTTTTTATTCCAATGACAATGAAATAGCTGCAGGTTAACGGCAATATCGTTAGATCACGGGTACCATACCGAATCGTTGTGCGATCTCAATTGTTGCCATACAATTCGGAATGTCATATTACATACATACATATACACATATTACACTTTAAAATATTCGGTCTCAAGAGGCATATGACAAAGGACCCCGAATTTTTGGGAAAATATATTTTTACTGATGAAGCAACCTTCGGACTTTATATTGAATTCGATTCATCATAAAATGAGAGATAATATTAGAAAATGTTCATTCATTTTCATTGTTCGCTTAATTAACGTTGTTATCGGTTTTATTATCGTTGATGATGTTGTGTGATGTTAATTAATATTATTGAAATTGTTATTGAAATAAAAAAGACGAACTACTTGTAGCTTTTCTTGATTAACATTTGTTAAGTTAATAAAAGTTTTAAACTTCACACAGATTCTCTAAATATTAGCAATCTATATATTTTTCAAATCAGAAGGAAAACATCTTTAGTCGTAACAGAAAATATATAGGGTATTTTTAGTTTTCTTTTACAAGTCTGAAAGGTAATACTGCACAAATTATATAATATGTGTATTAAAAGTTGTTTCAGTGACTTCCGTTCCGTGTTTATAGATTTTTATGGATTCTGTGACTTTTCTTTGGTAGACGAATTGATTACAAGATGCGAGAATTTTAGTCTGCCTTATCAACAATCGTCGCAGGATAAGTCCGAAATATTTGTAACAATTTCCTTATTTTAAATTGACATTATTAACACATTCTAGAATTTCTGAGAGCTTTCGAGGCATATCCTTAATATGTAATAAGGTAGGCAGGATTTCAAATAGTGGTTGTTCGGTTTGTAAAACCGGCAACACTGTGTACGCAATCGCACCAGGCAGACAAAAGTATGCAATTTTCAGTTATCGACATGGCTTGGAGCGGAGTGCATCGTGCTTTCGTTGTCGAGGACTTTATTAGAAATGGGGAATCTGTAATAGCGACGCAGCGCGCCTTTCGTAATCAGTTTGATGTTTGAAGAACAATTCGTCGGTGGGTTTTACATTTCAGAGAAACAGGTTCTGCGCTTAACCGAAAATCTACTGGCCGACCAAGGACAGTAAGAACACCGGAAAATGTGAATACAGTAAGAGTTTCCGTACAACAGTCTCCAAGGCGTTCAGCTCGTAAGCATGCAGCTGCTTTGGGAATTCCCGATAGAAGTGTTCGAAGAATTTTACACAACTCATAACAATAATGGCAGTGCAGGAATTAAGCGCAAGAGATTTTGAAACCCGTACAAAAGCGATGAAGGTCACTTTCACCTCACGGGTACCCTAAATAAGCAAAATTTCCGTTATTGGTCAGCAAATAGTCCACAGGAACTTCATGAGCGACCTCTTCACAGTCCAAAAGTTACCCTCTGGTGCACAATCTCGGAGTTCGGCGTGTGGGGTCCTTGCTTTTTCGAAGAAGATGGAATAACGGTAACAGTCAACGGAGATCGATATTTTGA